CATTTAACATGCATGAAGGAACAAGCAGATGCAAGCACTTTTGATTGACCGCACTTCAGATTCTGACAAAATGCCAAGGTAGTATAAGCAATAATATTCCAATATATTGGTAAGTCGTAACTGATACCAACAAAATGGAAAACGTAACTATAAGTTAACGTGAATTCGGTATGGGAAAGCATACATAAAATGTGTAAAGCTTCACAAATTGGAAGAGTTCAAACCTGCAGCATTGCAGCATTGATGCTGGATTCAGCTTCAGCGTCAACGAGGGTAACTAAAAGAACTGTTCCAGTTCCCTGCCCTTTAACTTTTCCTCCTGAGGTATCTCTTTCCTCAATCATTGCCCTGAATTCCTTTGAACTATTTAGGGTACAATCACTCAGATACTCTGCAGCTTCCTGACCAAAATCATCCTCTAAACTTGGGACTTTAATAAATGCAAGGCTGCATAGCTGAGCCAAACCAGGCGCTGAGGAGACTGAGGGATCCAGAGGTCGTAATCGACTATATGTAACTGTTTCTTGATTTCCATAATCAATGTAGAAGACTTCAAATTGATCCTCTGGTGACTCCACTGCACCTCTTGGTCCATTGACAATCTTCAGGAAAATAAAGTGAACATGGGTGTCAATAATAGAATGAAAATAAAGTTAAATCATCAGGATTTGGAAGTTAAACAAATGCATCAAACTAACATCCACATATGGTGAGTATAAGCATCCTCCATCTCTTTTTGAAAACAAATCAGTGAAACTTCAATAATCAGCACATGCAACAAACTTGAGGAAGAAGAATTAGGATACAGTAGGTAAAAAGAGTGTATCGTAGTAGAATATAAAATGTGTAATTTGGCATTATTGCTTCAAGAATCAGAGCATGGTTGACTATGAGCGCAGTGAATAAAGATAGTCACATGCGACACGTAAATTCATCGACCTAGTAATATAAATAGAACAGGAACATACATACAATAGTTTATATGTATTCCTTTGTTATTATTTGAAGCAAATCAGATTCTTTGCTCTTTACCAGACTAAATTTTGAAAACCAAGAAGGAGATGCAAGATTCTAGAAAGAAATAGGAAATGAAGACCAGGTGAAAATAGAAACAACAACATTTCACACAACAGCTCTTACAGCTAAAAGTTAATTGGAAAATAAGTTTACATTCTCGTCATGTTAAATATATCCCGCATGCACGTACAATTTAACTTGTTCAGATATATAAATATAAACAATATAACAGTATTTGACATAGTGACAACATAAGACATTTCCTTTTAAAAAAGGATAAGGTTTTATCAATTTAGAAGAATTGTAGATGTGTCCGTTTCCCTATAAATATGTTCAACTTCGAACAGACAGAGTATGCAACTGCACATTCATGCAGTTATGCAGAACATAAAGCTTGCCTGCATGTTCTCAGTATTTAGAATTGGGAGTAAAATGAAGGAATAAGAGTGAAAAGGGAGATGCTAACTGGATATGGCAGATGCTAACTGGAGTCTGGAGCTATAACCTTCCTATAAACCCATAAATTGTCCCATGTCGAGCTTAGCTAAAAGGCTCACTGAATTCTTATCAGGGTTGAGTTCAAACCAATATACGCAGCACATAACCTTAAACGTGCTTGGCATAGGCTTGAGTTGAACCTGATACAAACTAGCTGCTGCAACTTTAATCAACTCAAACCTTTGCTCCTCCTTGATCAACATGCAGCAAGATATGAGTATAAATCAATTGAACAAGCCAACTCCACTAATTTTCCATCCTGGAACTTGAAGTTTATATGACAGATGAAACTAGTTAATTAGACTTGACATTCGACAGTTTATATGACAACATTCCCCAATGACAACATTCCCCAATCATTGTAATGGGAAAAGTAAAGAACATTATTGTTACTCAGATGAAAGCCCAAATTTTGTCAGGAAGACCTAATTAAAGGCAGTTTAAAAGGTATGAACTTTAAACTAAATTGTACTAATTATCTTACCATGGCTCTATTCCAGGAATTATCTGCACTGAACTGAGCAAGGACAATATCACCCTTCACAGGGTTAAAAGCTCCAATCACAGGAGCTTCCTGAATACTTAACAAAGCAAGCTGCTGTTGAATCGCAGCAACCCTCTGATCACCAACTGTCTGAACATAAAATTTTCCACCACCTAATACTTCAGTCACTACAACCTGCCATCACATATAATATAATTGGCCGTCAGTTACCCACGAACATGAAGTAAATCATTTAAATTCTTTATCAATACCACCTTGAACACTTCCTTCTGTTTTGAATCAGTTGGAGCTCCATTAGTAACTTCCTGTCCTTCAACATAGTTCTCCCATATCTTGAGAAAAAGAAAGATGAAATTGTCAATAAAAACCATGAAGGTGAAATGAAGATTTAGAAAAAACATCTAATCGCATATTACTTTCAGCTTCTGCTCCTTTGCAGATTGCTCAGCTCGTGCCAGAAGGTGGACATCTGGGATCCTATCTGAACCGAAGGACGTTTGGAGCTTTGCCAATCCAGCTTCAAGAAGAGGCACAGCCATGTTTTTCTTAGACTCCCATAGAGAACCCAGGAAAGTCCCAGTCCTATCAACTGTTTCGACTTCAACCTGTGTAATATAAATCAAAGTTATTTACACACCATTAAAGATAAATGAATGAAAAAAAAACTTGCAGATGGGACAGTGGTACCTCTACATCCCGCTGCATTATCTTCCTTCTCATCAATGCGATAGCTTCATCTGAGTAGGGCTCATTTCGACCTGGGCATCTAACACCAGAGAATGAGAAGGCAATGCTGCATGTTTCCTTGGGAATAAACAATTTAAATCGATGACCACTAAGGACGTATTCAACAACAGCTGGAAGTCTTCTACTTCGTTGAATAAACGGTAAGAAGTCTTTGGCTTTTTTTGCTGAAGCCTAGGCAAAATAGGAGATCCAAATGAGATAGATATGTGAGGAAAAGCCATATTTCATGCTTCTAGAGAAAAAGGTCCCATTACTTACCACAGTCAGATCCGTTACATGCATGACTGGAGGATCCTTCTTTGAATGTTTCCCTTTTTTACTTTTCTCGGCACGTGATTCCGCAGCTAGTAAAGCATCATAATAGCTTGATCTTTCCTCAAAATCTCTGTGTCTTATAACCTCACCAAACCCACGTGAAACAATCAGTTCTGCAACATTGAGTCCTGTGGTTTGGCTACCAGAAGGGGCTGCAGGATTGGCAACATCACCCTCCTTTGATGGAGACACAAGGAAGATGGATCCAAAATTCATTACTTTAGAATCAGCTGGGCTAGAGACAGCTACAGAATTGGGTCCATCACCCATGACAACTTTTCTAGAATATTCCATAGATACATTCACCTGAAAAAACATGAGAAAATCTAACATCAGTCACAGTAGATGCTTGTGTGCCCAAAATCTCCATCAGGGATTCGAGAAAATGAAGATTTCACCTGCTGGCCAATAAGACGTGTCCGCAATAATTCCTTAGCCTCACGGGCATATGGTTCTGGCTTCTCATCTCGACGAGGATTTCCCATCTTAGGGCACCTGATGCTTGAAAGATTGACTCGACGTTCTGCAAGTGGGCTTCCATAGGGTGCAGCATCATCAGCAACAATTATACAATCTCCACTGACAACTTCTACAACCTAAATTGGCAGACATATAGAAAGAGATAAGATAATCTGATTGGCAGAGATAGATTGCGGATAAAAATTACAGTCAATAATTCAGATTTAGCACATTACCTTTCCCGTGAATTTCTGATCATGGATTGCCGTTGAATTTGAAGCAGGTGGAACATAGTTTGTCCACATTCTCAACCGTTCTTTTTTGGCTTGAAGTTCAGTAGTCTTAAGCTTACGCTTCACATCTTCTTCCATCATGTTGGCACTCCATTCTACATATTTTGCTAGACCCTGCATATGTTGGAGGGAATTATGAACTATGTACCATTTGGACTTATAGTTTAATAGTAAATAAGCCAAAATATTCTAAAAATGTATGCCTTATTTGTTGTTAGTTGAGAAAAATTATGCTTAATATTTATGTATGTAAATGCATAATGTCTGATATTTGTGCGCGTGTGTGCGGGTTCTATGACCAACAGAAATAGAAAGTAACATGAACAATTTACCAAAAGACGATATTCAAATATTTCTTTTATGAAAACATTAATAAACATCAAAACAAGTTTGCAAAGACTTCACATAGAAAACAATTCTTCCACTGTCATTTTCAGAGAGTTTCATATATCACATTTTATTTCTTTTACTTCTTAAATGGATTTTGGCTAGCCATTAGGCCAACGAAATTGGTGGGTTTTTACCAGCAGCAAGAACATTTCCAGTGCAGAATTCAGGACTATCTCATTATAGTAATAACTAAATTTAATTCTCCCAATACAAAAGAAAAATAGCTATCTGGAAAATCTGATTTCTGAGAGAAAATGTCAAAACTAAACAATAATTTCATGCTGCAAGTAAACATATTAGAGCTCGAAACATCAAATAATTAATTCAAATCTATCAATGTCAATGCCGAAATGAATATGCAAAACCCACTTGTAGCTGGATATATTTATCAAATATATTAATATGCACAAACTTATCTGTCACGCCCTGGGCCCATGGGCCCGTTAGCACGTGCAAGCCATGAGACCCTCCGAGTGTAACGCATTGTTTGGCTCAATCCACTGCCAAAATCGACTAGCCGATGTTACACTTGAGTCTTAGGCTTACCTATATAAGCCACACAATTTCACTGTAAATTTCCGATGTAGGACTAAAGTTGGGGTCTCACAATCACCCCACCTTACAAATGCGACGTCCTCGTCGCGACATGAGAATTGGCCCATCCTAGTAGGGCCATGTGACGTGGACTCTAGAGGTGGCTCCCACCGCACTCACACGGTGTAACACTTAGTCCCATATAACACTTAGCTCCACATTTCTGACTGGCAACTACTCTGATACCATTTATCACACTCCCGGCCCATGGGCCCGTTGGCCCGTGCAAGCCGTGGGACCCACCAAGTGTAACACGTTGTTTGGCCTAATACACTGCCAAAATCGACTAACCGGTGTTACACTTGAATCTTGTACTTACCTATTTAAGACACAAATTCACTGTAAATTCCCGTTCCCGATGTGGGACTAAAGTTGGGGTCTCACGTTATCGGTATATAGAAGTTGACATTCGTACAGATCACCATGACAATTACAATGTGAGAAACAGTACAAGAATACATCTGGGTTTCCATGTCAGAGATTAACATAGCCCACCAACGTCAATTTAGATTATGTGGCATGTACATGAAAGCCTGGTTCCCGCATTAACTTGTAAAGATTCAAATATTAATCTCACTACCAGAAATGAAAATATAGCATCCCTACATTATTATACTGTGATGGGACCTGTGCTACATGTAATAATTAATACAAAATTATGAATTTGTTACTGTATTCACGAAAAAAGCATAAACTTCAGGTCCCACAATCCAAAAAAAATATGCATGTGCCCAGTTTTTTTAACAAAAATGTCTTGAGAATTGATATACAGAAACCAATAACCAAATCAAATCTGACCATTTGTATTTCAGCAACATAACACATTATAGTTTCGTAATTTAATGATGCAAATGCACATACCTGTTTGTACTAGGCAAATGCAAAATTCAATGTCTTCAGAGCAAACTTTATGTTATAATAATTTAAATATGCAAATGCTGGCACAAGCTTTGGCACCAGATGGAAATCAAAATTCATAACCTTGAAAGGCAAAGTGGTTACTCAAGCGAAGTGATTAGTGCAGTTTCAGGAATACTAGTGTTAAAACAAGAAACAAACTTAGCAGGCGTTAGCTAGCTATGTCACAGTAGCAAATCTCGTAACAATTAGGATGAAACAAAATCATGAACGTACATTTTCTACAAGCTCCGATGCCAGGTCCTTCGGAGTATCACCATCAGCATAAATTATTGAACCAATCAGATTGTTGAATTTGTCCACACCCTCCAATACAATACGGACCTAGAAATCCAAAAAGAAAAGCTAAGATGAGAAGAAAAAGAGGAAGATAGTCAACGCAGCTTAGAACTGAGGACACTTACATCTCTGTTTAAAACCCGAATCTCTGTGAAGTGTTTAGCTTCTCTCCCAAATGGATCAGGTGAAACTTCAGTAGATACCGCTGAAGAGGCAGCAAGCCTTTGTGCTGATGTCAACGGTGCCCGAGCATCAGCGGAAGATTCACCGTTTGCATCATCAGTAGCTACATCAGGTTCTGGAATTGTTTCAATCACAGCTCTCCTGCCCATCGATGGAGCCTAAGTTTAAGACCAAGAGAATATCCATCAGTTACAACAACTCAATACAATATAGAACATACAATTTTTAAGGAAATTTTGCCCACCAAAACAATACCTGGATTCCTGCAACAAAAACTTGAACAAATTGAAAACCCGGATGCAGATAGACTCGAAGTGTACTTCCATCACGAACTTGTTCAACAATGGCTTTCATTGGTTTCCCCCTGTTTGCATCTAAGAAGGCTTGTGCATCAAAATTATTAGGGTCACCGATGGCTGAAGGGGGAAGGTCTCTTATAGATTCATCAGTTTCCTGCATTGATTTTCAATGCCAAATATTAAGAAAGGGCCTTTAAAAGAAACGAGACAATTAACGATAGAAGCAAAACTTAATATACGAAATGTAATTTTATTTAAAATTGTGAAAATGAACGAGTGCATAACATTATATTGATTTTCAATAAATATCTAGGACTATCACTTTCGCTATTTATGATTACTCATTTGTCAACATGGTAAATTGAGGATGATGTGGTTCATCGAATCAAATCGGGATGGTTAACATGGAGAAGTGCTTCTGAAGTCCTATGTGATTGTAGACTCGTAGAATACCTATGAAGTTGAAGGAACCACTCTATAGAACGTCCATAAACAACAATAGCTTATAGACCCGAATGTAGGGCAACTAAGAAACATGCATAAAAATGTGCAGAAGACATGAGAATGTTACGCTGGACATGTGAATATGCACTAATAAATAGGATAAGAAATAAATGCATTTATAGGAAGTAAGAAGTTGCTCGGATAGAATGTTAGAGAATCAATTGAGATAGTTTGGTCATGTGCAGTGAAAGGTCACCAAATGCACCACTTAAGAGAAATAATAAGAATATAGTTAACGAAACAAGAAGAATTAGAGGCAGGTTTAACAGAACATGGTTAAAAATAGTTACATGGAGGAAATAACCCTTAATATAACTAAATGAAAGAGTACGATCGTGTAGTTGACGCTGAACTTTTGGGATGAAGGCTTGGGTGTTTTTGGTGGTCTTGTTCTTAAATGGACAAACTGTAGCTTCCTTCATTATGTGAATGTGATTGAGACTTGTTCTCTCCTAGCAATTAGCCAAGGTTAGCGCTACATAAACGAGATTTTCAATAAAGAAACTCAGTTATATATGAATTATTTTCAAAAGCTCAGCCAGGTTCCAATCTAAACCTGCTACCTGCAATACCATTAGTTCCTCAATACCTTCAGTCCTGTTCTACACAGTGGTTCAACCCTACTAGCATCCATGTGCTTCCAGGGCTTGAAATGCCACCTTAACCCACTATTAGCAGACTGAAAAGGATAAAGCTTTTATAAGCTTTAACCACATTAAACTTATTTTGGATTCACTAAAAGGGCTTTCCTTTAAGCTAATTTCAAAAGGTGAAAATAAAAAAGCGTATGTAATCATATAAGCATCATTATAAAAAAACCCATAAAACTCTGTTTAGGGCTGTTTCAGAAGTAGTGGCTCAATGCCACTTCGCTTCATCCCCACACTGTGTAAAAAGCCTACTAGATTCTAAGATTCAGCATGCTTAAGGGCTAGAAGACCCACACTCTTTAGCAGGCAGAAGCAGGATAAAACCTTTATTGATCTAACTAGATAAAATTCAGTCTGTTTTCCAAACAAATGGATACCTTGATCTCTTTGTCATCTCTCTATCCTTCATTAAGTGTTATAACCAACGAAGGCTCCGACAAGCACCCAAGCTGTTAGTTTTCCGTTATGTTTTAGTGTGTGACAACTTCACAATAGTCCCTTCTAAATTGATTAACCTTTCTACTATGGTTTAATTCTTAGCAATGTTTATTGTTGTCCTCACTCCTTAAAATTGTATATAGTTAGATAGATTTCACTATCTCATTGCACTTTAAATATCACAATTGTCCATTTAAGAATTTATTTTGTATAAAGTTTTCTTATCTTTTACCCACTACATAGTGTTATTATACTTTCATTTTGTTTTTTACTTCAATTTTTTTCACTGGCGAGCCAAACCCTGCTACCCTCCACTTTCCATTTCAAGAAACCTTGCCTCCAATCGTGAAACTTAAATTGTGGGGATGTCGGTCTCATAAAAGTTTCTACTTTGTTCTTTAAGATAAACAAGGTCAAATTTGTTCACAAAGGAAAACATAACACTATGATGATATTTCTCTATTGCATAGCAAAATGACAGAAAAAAGCATACTAGCCTTGTTCCAACGGCCTCGACCTTTCTGCTTAGCTTGCTCCTCCAAGGCCTGCAATTCCACCAAGAAAGAGCTTGGTTCCCCTTTTTGCGGACCCTGCTCTCGGACCTATAGATTTAGACAAGTATAAGATATAATCTTAATATACAAGAGGCAATAGGAGAGTAAATTAGTGCATTGGATACCTTTGCCCATCCTTCTTCCACGATCAGTTTTGTAACATTCTGGTCTCCAAGAAAGACAGAACCAAACTCTCGCCCAATGGATGGAAGAGTATAATCTACTTTGAACGTCACATCCTATAAAAATCAAGAAGATAAAGAACTTGATAAATTTTCTTCTCCATGCTAAGAAAACTTATTTACACAGCACAGATACAAATGCTTATGGTTCAAAAGAAAGACCTTTCCTATGCAGAGATTCCTTAAATACTCTCTGCTACCCCATGCAAAGGGTTCATCAATTCCACCACGGCGTGCCTATGACATCAAGCAATGCAAGAGAATGAGCGATGTCAGTCAAAAGAGTATATTGCATGCATCTAGATAACAAGGATTATATAAGCCAAAGAAGAGATGATGTTATTACTTAACACAAGAAGATATCAATAATTAAACACATAGCTGCATTTATCAGCATGATATACATGAATAGCATAAAAATATCATAAGCCAAATTGTTTAGCATGTATTTTCTTTTTCTTTTTCTTTTTATGAGTGCGTGCGTGCCTGATTTGAAAATTAGACAAAAGACCTAAAATTTTCACACATGACCTCCCAAATTAACACAAACTAACACTGTTAACTCTCAAGAGCCATAGGCCTAGAATGTAAGCCTGAAAAACTAAAATATGCCTTTAAAAATTTTTACATTTTAATAAGGGGTTTTAGCATGTAAACCCCCATAAACCCCCATATTTTCCCAAATCACCAGATAAGCATGTGAATCATCCATCTGTCCAAACAAAGAAACGGTCTTTTTACAAAAGAAGATAACAGCCTTCATTAACGAAAGGCTCCTCTGTCAAGATCAAGAAAGAATCATGAATGTAATGGTTTCATGGTTCTCATGCGAAACACAACATTTGGGCAACGTGTAAGCAATTGTGTTTCTTATTATGAACAATTGCATTTTCACTTCAAGAAACTTCACCATACCAGCCTAGGAGCAATGATTGACGCCAGGGTGATCGTCTTCTCGGGCGGGATCTCTGCTTTGGTGCTTCCCATTATCACCAAGCAATCTCCCGAAGGAACTGCCTTCACTTTCCCTCTCAACCATCCTGTTGCTCCCTGAGTAGACGCCATAACCCTGAAATCCATTATAATTAAGATCAGTAACAACTAACTAGTCCATGCCAATACAGTCAAATTCCCAAAAGAAGCAACTGAACCCACAAATTTTCAAATTTTGAATATAATAGACGCAAAGTCATAGCAGGGCGTCATTCTCCGACTAACCGATTATCAATCAAAACCATTAGCAGTCACTAGTTTACAAAATCAGCCCTTTTGGTCTAAAACCTAGGCTAATATTTACCATGCAAGCATTTAAAAAAAAAGCAATATTACAACAAACGATGCAGAAGAACTAACAAGTCGACTAATTTTCTTCAAATAAATAAAAAAAAACAAAATTTTAATCTGTCCGCAAACAAATAGCATCAGTCATCTGAGATCACATTAAAATTTTACATTTGCACATTTGTATTCAGCTGAGATAAAAAAATTAACAGTAGATCTTGCGATACCCTGTAATTCAAACAGGATCACAGGAGATCACACATCAATAAACAGCAAACTCAAACTAAATCAAACACTGGAGCGCGGATCGATCCGTAACCAAAACCTAGCATCGGAACAAAGTAGAAAAACTCAAGAACGAGCGATCACAACAAAAATTAGAGTGGATCTAAATCGAATTCAAAGCAGATCTAAGTAAAAGCTCACCTAGTTCCTCAGATCGACGCTCAAACTCTCTCTCACCCTCTCTCGCCAAAATCTCCCCAAGAATTTGATAACAAAAGAGAGGAGAGAGAAAGAGAGAGAGAGAGAGAGAGAGGAGATCTAGCGAGGATCGTTGAGAGCTCCGCTGAAGAGAGAGAAACAGAGGAGAGAGAGGGGGGAGTCAAAAGAGGAAGAAAGAGGAGAAAGAAAATACATATTTATAGTGGGAGGACAGAGGGGGAGTGTGCAATAAATTGGATCTTTACTAATTTTTGCTAAATTTACCGTTTGTGGTGAAAATCTCTTTGGAAGTTAAGAATTCTCAGTGAGATTCACTCTTTTTATGCTCAGTTCCTAGTACAACATGATTTTAGCAAGGAAGAAATTTTCAAAATCAATCCAAACCATGTTTTTATTTTCAAAACCGACCCACTTTTTTTTATTTATCAAAATCGACTCACTTTTTGTCACGTCAGCTTAATTCCATTCTTAAACAGTCGGGGTTGGCAACCCCGACGGTTTAGGAGATTGTTAAACTCCAATTAGAAGCCTTAAACTCGGTTTTTGCTGTCCTAAATAGTCAGAGTTGGTAACCCCGACTAATTAGAAAATAAGATCAAGCTGACGTGGCAAAAAGTGAGCCGATTTTGATAAATAAAAAAAAAGGGTCGGTTTTAAAAATAAAAACATGATTTGGGTTGGTTTTGAAAATTTCTTCTTTTCCCAGGGTAATTTGCACTTAAGTACCTAAAGCTTAGGTCATTTTTAACTTTTGATGTCTCAGAATTTCTTTTTTCATTAAAATAGCCCAAAGTTAAAACAAAACCCAAGTCTAGCAGCATATGACATATGTTTAATAGATAAATGTGCATGGATTTTTGAATTCCTAATTTTTCTTCCACAAATCTATGAAACATGATAAACTTTTCAATGCTCATAAAGTAACATGAGTTATCATGAGTTGCTTTGCTGGCGATAATAAGAAGAGAAAAAAATTACATCTGGTACACATTTTATTTAATATAATATAATATTAAACCGTACACGTCACTGTTGTCTATCAATACAGTTGTAATTGCACTGATATTTATAACGATAAATATGTGATTACACTGATATATATGTAGGGTTGTCCAAAAAGCCCGCCGGCCCGGGTCCGAGTGCAGTCATCGACGCCCGGCCCGAAATAGTATATTATATATATATATATATATATACTCTTTCTCTTAGTATATAATTGACGCCCGGCCCGAAATAGTATATTATATATATATATATATATATACTCTTTCTCTTAGTATATAATTATATATAAGTATACTCTCTCTTATATAAATATATATATATGTATATGTATATATAAGTATACAGTGTATACTTTCTCTTATATATGTATAATATATGTATATATATTTATTTATACTCTCTCTCTCTTAGTATAGAAGTATACTCTCTCTTATATATGTATAATATATGTATAAGTATATATAAGTATACAATGTATACTCTCTTATATAAGTATATATCAGTCTACTCTCTCTTATTTATGTATATATCTCTTATATAATTATATATATGTATAAGTATATTCTCTCTTATATAAGTATATATAAGTATACTATATAAGTATATTTTCTCTTATATATGTATAATATATGTATAAGTATATATATATATATATATATATATATATATATATATTTATTTATTTATATATGTTTATGTATAATACAATTTGTTTATGTATAATAACAGCTTTTGGTGTCTTCCTCTTCTTACACTTGCACGTGTATGAATCTATGAAATTTTGATGTCAAAAATCAACTCATAAAATGGTTCATTGGCTTCCCACTCGTTGAAGAAAGTGGAGCCCACGCATACTTTGTCATAATAACCAATAAAAGTTTGCCACGTCATACCAATGACACATCTTTGCCGACAAAGCACTAGTAAAGTGAAAAAGCGTTAACGGGCGTAACCACCGCCATCGGGTCCGAAACTAATGAATACCGCGAACGCGGAAACCGAAACCGGAGGCCCGATGCCAGTGGCATCCTTGTAATTTTCAGTGCCACGTAAGATAAGGACAAGGACAGTGGTATCTTTTAGAAGGTTCTTTTAGGGACTGTTTGGTTGGTTTCCTAAAAACCAAAAAACGGAAATCGGTACAAGGAAATCAATAAAATAATATTTTTATCATTTTTTATCCCTACGACCATATGCAGCAGAGGTTATTTGAAGAGATATTTGGTTGCAGCAGGGGTTTTTTGAAAAGGTGAATCAAAAAGACAAGGCCAATGGGTGAAAATTCACCCCGGATATTTCTGACAAGGCCACGCGCGGACAGGTCTGGCGCATGCCTGCTAGCTGCCGCGTGGCGAAATTTGATTGGGCAATAATTTTTGTTTTCCTCTTTATTTTTAATTGATATTTTTTGAGATAAATACAATGATTTAATTTATAATTTTTATACCATTAATTTTTATTTTTCAAACTCTATAAATAGAGATTAACTTTGTGTCATTTGGACACCAAAAAAAATCTGAGTTTCTACACTCTATTCTTCTTCTTTCTACAATGCTAGCTCTAGCGCCTCTTTCAATGTTCAAACAGACGTGTTGCCGGAGTTTCAAGTCCATGTTCAACACCGATCTGAGGCAGATAATCAGACTAGAGCGGAACTACGAGATAAGACCCAACATATTCAGCTGAAGAAGGATCTCATCGAGCACATTTGGCAGAAGTTTGGGACAACCTCCGATTAGATTTACCAATTTAGTGTGTGTTTTCTTTAATGTTTTCAATAATTTGGGTGTGTTTGGTTTTCCGTATGCTTAATAAAACCGTGTGTTATTTTATGTTAATTTAAAAATATTATTGAAAATTAAATTAATAATATATATTTAAATATTATATATTATTTATTGAATTATTAATAAATTATAATTATAAATATATGAGTTATATTAATAATAATAATAATAAAATAGTAATATATATGAAATAGGAAAAAGAATGAATAAATATGGTGGGGTATATGTTGAAGTGATGTGGTTTATGGTGGGTCCCAAATAAAGTAAAAAACTTTCTGAAAAATCTCCTGCTGTAGAGTTGATAGGGAAATGAAGATTATTGAATTAAATAAAGTGATGTGGCAGGAGAGAAGGAGGTGAAATTTCACCTCCTGCTGGAGATGGTCTAAAACTCATCCACAACATCCAATAAAATATTATTTTTATCCTCCAACTCATCTCATTTCATCTCCTTTCTTATCTTTAAAAATAAACCAAACACAAGAAATGTGTCACATCATCCAACTCATCACATCTCATCTTATCTCATTTTTAAAATCACACACATCATCCAATAATATTGTGACAACTCATCACATCTCATTAAACCTTCCTTTTCATCCATTTCCTCAAAAAAAAAACAAGAAATTGATTTTCTTAAGTATGTGTCACATCATCCAATAATATACCTCTAACTCATCTCATCTCATCTATTTTCTTATTTTTAAAAATAAACCAAACACAAGCAACCTCAAAACATCATCCAATAATATACCTCCAATTCATTTCCTTATTTTTTTAACCAACCAAACAACCTCAAAATAAGTTTTTTTTAAAAATCACTCACATCATCCAATAATAAGGTGACAACTCATCTCATCTCATCTCATCTCATCTCTTATTCTATAATTTCCTTCTTTTTTTTAACCCAACCAAACAACCTCAAAACAATTATTATAGGAAATAGGTTTCCTATTCTTTAATTTCCAAGTTTTTTTTTCCGAAACAAACGAAAGATGATAATCTCATAAATGCTTTATATTTTCACATTTGCCCTTCAAATTATTGACATTGCTATTTAGTACACCCAGTTATATCTTTAGGGCCTGCTCGGTTGTTTTCCGAAAAAAACAAGAAATGGAAATGTCACATTTCATTTGATATCATGACATTTCAAGAGTTTTCCCACATTTCATTTTTTGTGTTCGTTTCGCAAAGAAATCACCCCTTGAAACCGCCAAGTCACATAAAGAGACAAAAAAAGCGCAATAGTAACAGTGCATGTGTTTTCTATTTCTTGTGTTCGTTTGAACAAAAAAAAGGGAAAAAGAAATGGAAACATTTAAATAATCTGTTTAATTCTCATTCATTGTTCCAACAGTGCTTTTAAATATTAAAAATTCATTGAATTGACATTTCCAAGTGTTTTCAGAGGTTTTTGTTGTGAAAACACATTTCTTAAAAATGTGACGTGGCATCCTACGTGGCGTTTTATTTCTCTAAATTTCAAAACGAACTGAACTGAAGAAATGGAAAACCCTTGAAACCAAAAACCTATGTGGCACATGGGGGATTTCTTGAAATGTGAGGTGGCGGTGTTTTCTCATTTTTTTTGAGCAAACCGAACAGGCCCTTAGAGAAAAAGGATGAGGCGTTAAAAAAGAACCCTTAATAACCCAGTTATTATAAGTTATTTTAAAATTAGTCCTCGTATGGTTGGAATTGTCACTAGGCTTATGTTTCAAATCAATCTCTTCAATCAAGAGTAGCGGTGCATGATACAAGGATGGAGACTTAATATCAATCTCAATGATTTAAGGGGCTAAGTCAAAACAGTAGATATCAAGGACTAATTTCAAAATATTAAAGACTTAATAGATTAGTATCAAATATAACTTCATTTTTCAGTCAGTTATTAATTAGGTTTCTTTATTAGGTAGATTGACTTGGATCTTATTTTCTGATTAATTTTTGGAAGATTTTTTTCATCTACATCACCTGAAAATATAGATATTACCAAACTTAAAGTGTCAAATCATCATAATTGTATTTTACGCTCTAGCATATTTTTTTAAGGAATAGTCAAAATCTACTGCCTCATTCGATGCGCAGAAATCAAGGTAAGTGAGAACAGAATAAAATAGAATCAATATTAGAATAGAATATTTGTTTTCATTTGCAATTTGAAAATGAAGTGGGAATGAGCAAATCGTCATTATTTTTTTTGTCTGTATAAATCTCTATTGAAGCTAAGGACCACTATTTTTTAGTTATAATTTCATTAGTCCACAAAAATGAGCTCAATATACAGAGGATATAACAAATGATAAAAATTTGAATAATTCAAAAATCTTCCCCAGCTCGCTCAAAGCT